AGGAGATCACAGAGTCGCCGACACCCATCCCCCGCAGCTTCTCACCCAATAGCAGAGGCTGGACAGTGTTGAAGGCACTCGAGAAATCAAAAAATGTGATTCTCACCGTGTCTCCTCCACCATCCAGGTGCGTATGGGCTCGTTGCAGCAGGAAGATGACAGCATCATCAACTCCTAAGTGCGGCTGGTAGGCAAATTGTAGAGGGTCCAAAAACGTCATCACCCTAGGCCTCAGCTTGGCAAGGATCAGTCTCTCCATAACCTTCATCACATGAGATGTGAGAGCAACAGGTCTGTAGTTCTTTTTGCTGCTTTCCCCCTCTTTTACCACCAGAGGGTGCCAAGAAGCTGTTCCTTCCTGAGAGCAATGTCGGTGGTTCCTGGATTTCTGCACACCTGCAGTTAATCAGATCATCTGGAGGAGTATATGAGGAGGGAGCTGCCAACACTTCAGCTCTAGAGTGTTAGCCAGTATTTGGTACTTCAGCCTTCCGTGCTTCTCACTGTGATCTCCCGTTGTGGACCTCAAGTGATATCTCCTTGTGCCTCATCCTCAGGTTATTCCTCGTGACACTGTGGATGTTACCCACTGGTTGCCTGAGCTCCTGGCTTCCTCCAAGCATTCCTCTCCTCGTGACACTGTGGAAATTACCCACTGGCTGCCTGAGTTCCACTGACACCTCCACAGTTAACCAAACCTCCTTGGATTACCCTGTTGGCAGTCCCACTCGCTCCTCGCCTCCTGTGACCCAAAGCTTATCTGTCCGCCCTCCGCCGCAGCCTCGTCGGTCAAGCAGCAACCCTCCACCTGAACCAAACCTCGGTAACCAGTGATTCTTCCCCCCAGACAAGACCTACCTCCACCCAAGTAAGACCACTCCATTTATTCTGACACTGCCGTTTTCCACAACCCCTGAACTCACCATCTCTCTTTTTTCACTTTCCAGTGCTCCGGTAATCCAGATTGCAGACTTTCCCCAGAACCTTATTGTTGATTATTATTTTATGTTTACAATAAACTTATTTGACTGACTTCTGTTCTCCGCCTGGTATTCTGCATGTGGGTTAAGAAATGACATACGGGTAAAATCTGTTTTTGTTTTACGGTAAAATGCAGGTAGCTGGGGTTGCCGAAATTCCACTGTAAAAATAATTATGGGTAAAATCTGTTTTTGTTTTGTTTTACCGTAAAATCTACGTTTTGTTTTGTTTTTTGTTTTTTACAGTGTATGTTTGAAAAATTAGCTACACCTGTAAGATACAGACATGTTAGAAAATGAGGGAAATGAGTAAAGGCATCAGCCATGTTCAGTCACTTGGAAGACTAACGGGGTTCCAACGGAGCCTCCTAATTCTAAGGAGATCCAGCGTTTGCAGAAGATGAAAGGCTTCCATTGGAAGACAGAAGGCAATTCAGGAGGAGCAAATGGAGAGTGCTGTGCTTCAGTCACAGCACCAGGGCTGTGACAAAGTTGTACAAAGTTCTACCGCTGAAAATATTTGAAAAGTTTTGAATGCAAGCATTAGAAGTTTGGAGAACAAAAAGATGAAATTCTGCTTTCAAACTAAAAATTTAATATTTTCACGTAGATGATAAAAATGTGAAATCTATTTTTAGTTATCAAACACTTGTGGTTGAATTTAAATCATTTTGGAATGTATCACTATTATTATGGCATGACACACAAAATCTTAAAAGTGTAATAGCCTGTATTACAGTTTTACTACATGGTACAGGTGCAGTTATGATCTCTGTACCATAACTGTAAAGGTATTTCCTCTCCGAAACCGTGTTTTTAATAGAATTGACTCAAGTTGATGTATCCTTTGCAATGACTTCATCCTGCTCTGGTCACTGTGGTGCTTTGAGTGAATAGCTAATGAAATTGATTACTTTAAGCTCATACAGCCTGATAAGGATTGCTTGACCAGATCATCTGGTTGCAGAGGGTCTTTAGCAGTCTGTCTGCTGAAGCAGCTGTTAGAACTTGGCTTGAGTCATAGGTTTGAAGCTCATTGGATAATAAATCCAGATTTATTTCATAGGGGTTAGTGGAATTAGACACCTAATCTGCCTGTGTGGTTTTATAAGTTGACTAATCTTGATATAGACATCCGTTATTTGGGCTCATCTTAGTGTTCTTACACTCTAAGCTGATTATTGCAACGTGTTATTGTAACAATTGTTTACCTTTTTAATTCTGCATATTGTAGTGAGGTCTCTGTGGGAGAGCATTAACGGCTGGTAATTAGCCATTTATGGTACCCTACTCCATTTGTAATAGATCACTCACTGAGATAAGAAACTGATCCTTTAAACTTCTTAAGTTCTTTGTGTAGCGTTATGTTGACGTTTTTGGGTTGACGTGCTCTACTTGGTGATCTCTCCATATCCTCAGGTGTTAGTTATGGAATAACAATGATCTTTAGGACAAAATTTCATTACATGATTTTCATTTGCAAAAGTAAAGTTAAAACTGGAAAAAATCACACAGTTTAATGTTGTCCCTCATTGATTGATCTTCATCTCACTAGATATTCAAAACCAGCATGAAAACCATTTGAGTAGCACTGTAACATATACATTCTAATTCTAAGGAGATCCAGCGTTTGCAGATTAGGTATGTGGATCCCATTGATTAAGATGAATAAATGGGATCCACATATATATATATATATATATATATATATATATATATATATATATATATATATATATATATCTTATTTATAACAAAGGTGTAAGCCTGTACAGGCTGCACTTAAGGCAGTCAATCCCATCTCCTTACATGACCTTTAGAATCTAAATCAGACTTTATCCGAAATCACTCAATCATGCCAATCTTCTGCAAGGTGACAGCTAGATTAGCTGGCTTTTGCATCAAACCGTTTTTCACTGCCTCCCTACTCTCTTGCAAAATGTGTTTTACTGACCTGCATAGTTTGTAGAGTTGCTGTATAATAGCAGTCTTGTAAATCTGCCCTGGAACACATTTGCTTCTCATTTTTGGAACATTGTTTGAGTTCGACTCAAGTTCGTCCAGGACACATGATTTCCCAAGATCAAGTGGTGCTTCATGTAAAAAAAAAAATAAAAAAGCCGTTTCATTACATTTATTGAATTATTAGCACTCAAAGACTCCATGTAGTCTTCCTGAGTCACAAAGCTATCTCTGGTTACTGACATAGAGAGGAGATAAATTAACTTTTTTATAAAACATCTTCTTTCTGGCCTTATATGATAAACGACTAAATACCTTAAGATGACAACAGTCCTGACAGATGGAGAGCATGATAAAGCTTTGAGGAGAGACAGAAGTTAGACCCACTGTAGTTTGCTTAAGGACACAATGAATCCCAGCAGTATTTGGTAGGCATGACGTACCAACACATTGTACAGCACATAAAGTCTGTGTTAACATTTTATTAACTGTATTACTTGCAATTTGCTTGCAGGCTATTTGACTTTGTCCTGAACTAATGCTGCTTCAGTATAACTTTGCATAACACATTTAATTTCTCCTCATAACAACTCAATCATGAAATAATTGTAAAACTATTGGCACATCCTGTAATGCCTGTTTTCTGCCTTGAAGTAAGTTTTGGGCTTTAGCAAAGCCAAATAAATCAATGTTTGGACTACAGTTATGATCACAGGGTGGAGTTTTTAGCTCATACTGGGCAGGTGTTGGGAAACTCCCTGTGAAAAGCTTAATCACCCCTATATTGGGAATCCTTCTGCAAATATGTCTGCAGATCAAACATGCGACTTCTCACTCATCTCCCACTAAATACTCTGCTTTTCTCTCCTTGAAATGATGAACTGCCTTTTCTTTTTGACAAAGTGCAGGTGAAAGGTGAGGCATTAAAAGCTGTCAGAAACTTAAGTTGGCCTAGGGAATGTACAGATATCCCAGGTAATATCTTGAGAATGGGAGGAGAGGAAAGTAGAAGACTGCATGGTTGGTGGTCTAGACCAGAGCAAATATGGCTAAATAGCTTTAAGGTTAATGCCAATAGTTTCAAACTCAAAAAGCACGCTTTGGATATTCATTCAAAGACTCAGATATGGGACCTGTCTTAGTCGTTGCATCCCTCATAACATTTTAGATCACTCGTAGTTCCCCTTACCTTACACCTCTTCTCACCACACACAGTCGTTCTGCCCATTGAGGAAAATCCCAACAGCGTAATGACGGGAAAGTTCTTTGTTCTGGCCTCTTAGTGAGATCTACTGGTGCTGACAGACAAGACTATTAAAGAACAGGAGCTCTCTAAATCAAACAGGACACACTCTGACAACATACCCGAAAGCTTGCCCTGACTCATAGACTTTCAAAGCTCGCTGGCACACCTCAATGTGGGAATGACACTTTTCAACCCATCTCTATTTGAACAGGTTGATTCCACTTTCTCTCTGTTCTGCTTTAGGTATTCAGCGGGTTTCCCCAGTTATAATGGACCACTAGCTCAGTGCACAAGCTCAGACTTCAAAAACACTTAACAAATATGGGCTAGTTGCATATATATAACCACATTTACCTAATGTGCTGTTTGAACTCATTCTGTTTACTTGTTGCCAGACTGGCAGGTTAAAACAAAGGTATGGACAAATTCTTACCAGGGAATTCACTGATTTATATATTTGTTCACATTTACCTCAACACTACCAGCAGCATATCTGTCAAGTTTCAGTTTTTTAGCTGGGAAACTACTGTATTTTAATCCTCTCTTCTGCTGAACTCCAGTATTAGTATTTTCCTGTAAATGTCCTATACTATAATGTAATAATTTTGAATAAGAATGTCTGCCTCGAGAGAACTGCCACTAGCAGTAGCGTCGGAGGCAGTTCTGGCGAGGTTAGTACTGACAGCAGGAACACACCAGGTGTTGATCTCAAAAGTGATGGTGGGCCAAATACTGATGGGGTGAGACAAATTTTGTTAATGCCAAAAACTCTCTTATAGCCCTATGCCCAACAACAAAGTATTATCTTGTCTACCCTTTTCTCTTCCAAAAATTTGGGATGTTTTCCTGTGAGTGTCATTTGCGTGTTTTGTTTTCATAAATATATTCCCATTTAAATGCCTAATATGCATATAGCAGTAAAGGTATTTTTTTCACATGTTACCTTAGGTTGCTTAGAGTTAGAACCACTGTGTGATCACTGTCCTTTGATAGATATAGCTAAATAAGATAAAACATATATATTTTTACTTTTTTGTTTTACTGTTTTACTGTACTTAATTTTTTAATTCACAAGGGTAATGTTTTTAAAAAAAGTAAAGCACAGGTCGTCTTTCTTGTGCACATTACATGACTACAATAGTCATGTACATACATGCACTGTATGTATTCCACATACAGTGCATGTATGGTGGAATCCATTCTATGTCACAGTGAAAAAATGCCAAAAATAGGTGTTTTTCTTCTGTCAAAAAATTAAGACCTGCCCAATGAAAGGCAATTTCTACCTGAAATGGTTTTATTTCACTCAAAAGGATCATATCATATAGATGTGGTTGATAAATATGTAAGATAAGGCCCAAAACGTGGGAGTAATGATGGACTCTGACCTGAACCTTCAGAGCCACATTAAGACAATCACAGTCAGCCTTCTATCACCTGCAGAACATCTCCAGGATTAGAAGACTTATGTCTCAGCACGATCTAGAGAAACTCATCCATGCGTTTATCTTTAGTCACACTGATTACTGCAACAGCGTCTTCACAGGTCTGTCCAACAAATCAATCAAACAGGTGCAGCTGATCCAGAACGCTACTGCTCGCGTTCTGACTAAAACTAGGAAGGTAGAGCACATAACACCAGTTTTAAAGTCCCTATACTGGCTCCCTGTAGCTCAGAGAATAGACTTTTAAAATACTGTTGTTAGTTTATAAATCACTAAACAGCTTAGCACCACAATATATGAAAGATCTGTTGTTGCTGTACCAACCGTCTAGACCCCTCAGGTCTTCTGTTTCTGGTCTGCTCTGCATCCCCAGAACCAAACGAGGAGAAGCAGCATTCA